CCTTCTTGGGCCTATGGAAAAGACTTGGGCAAGATCAACATCTCAGAACTGGTGTAGGTCTTCAAGGAGCAAGCAGGACTGTGCACGTTAGCAAACCCTTGCAAATGCTGTAGTTAGCAGACACTCACTGTGTCAGAGCAGTTCTTTGTGAGCCAGGCAGAGCATCTCTCCATCAAGCGGCCTGTGCAGTATGGACCTACTCTACGCTGCTCTGAGGACACCGGTGTAGCAGCACAAAAGACACAGACACTGCTCTAAATTTGCTGCAGGGAGCAGGGCATGAATCCTCCTCTGCTGCGTGAGCATTCAAGGTTTCCCAGCCAACCTTATCTTGCACGGAGCACTCGACCACATTCTACTCGAGAAGACAGAGTTGGGAGAGCTGCGGACCAAAGCCCAGCCTGACCCTGCCACGCTGGCTGTCCCCTCAAACCCTCCTGCATGTCCCCCATGAGCTCTGGCAGTGGCACTGCTGCTGAAGCAGCAACTCTTCCTCCTCATCCATCAGCCTTGGCAGAGCAGATGCCCTACAGGCTGGTCACCCTGCCCTGCCATAACTCTCCTCTGGTTGAGACTCAAGCCACTTTCCCAACCCTCTGCTAAAGCCGCACGCTCAGCCAGAACCTCCCAGTGCCTCTGTGCCCCGACTCTGCTCAGCCCCGGGGGATGCAACTCCATTCCCTGCATGTGCTGAGGATGCAACATATGGCAGCCCCCTCCCCTCTCCGCTTCCACCTAAGCCCGACCTCCTCACAACCTCCACCGGCCCGAGAGTGCCAGAAGGCATCCAGGTGCTGCAGCCTGATGCTTCACACCCGCAGCCAGGCAAATTTGCCGGGATTTCCGGGAAGTGTCTCTAGGGTGCCCTGTGCTGCTGCACCCCCACTTTGGTGTGTGCTTGTTTGGAATGCGGGGCCATCGGAGAGCGGGGGGAGAGGGGAAGTTATTCTGGTGGTGGCCTATGAATAACATCCAGTGATTTATAGGAAGTATAATCCAATAATACAGTAAAATAAAACAGTGTGTCTGAGATGGGTTTGATTCCAGGAATTATAAAACAAATTATTAAAGAGAGAGAGAAAGAAAAAAAGCCTCAGAGAGGCCAGATCGGAGTAAATTGGGCACAGATGGGCTGGGAGGGGGTTTCTCTCTCTCCCCTCACCGAGATGCCCCTGCCGCAAGCACGGCTTCAATTAGTCTTTTCAGAAACCAGAGTTTTATTTCCCCAAATTACAGAATTAAAAAAAAATTAAAATTCTTGGAGTGTTTGCGGTTGGGATAAAGGGATCCAAGCTTCTCTAAGTCGGTTGTGCAGATGGCTACCAAACTGTTAAATGGGCCACCCCGCAAAGGTCCCGCCCCTGCTGGAGCCCAGGATGGCCCAAAACGTTAGTAGTCACCTACATCCCACGATGGAAAGCTCCAGCAACTGCACGTCTCTGCCATGTAGACTGCCTGCCTCTCTGTCTCCCTCCCCTGGGTGGGCTCTCCTCGCCCCATGGGTTGGAGGTCTACAAGAAGCTTTTTCACACCTTGAGTGTCCCTAACAGGAGGCAGCCAGGAGGTCAGAGAGGTCCTTGATGGCCCATAGACAACAGGGAGAGCAGTTCACTCGAAGGAACATGCTGTTTGATGCCGACCAGCGGCGGAAGCACTTAATGTAGGAATTCTTTGGCTTCCTCTGTCAGAGAAAACAACAGACCCAATCCATCTCCCAGCGTCTTCCCAGTGTTGCCTTGCTGCACAGGCAGCCGAGACCAGCTCCAGAGCACCCGGCACTAGCCCTGTGGGACCAGCAGAGCTCAGTTGCCGGCGCTGGGCACAGACCATGGGGCTCCTGCTGGCGCTCACCCATGCCCTGCCTTGGGCACACGCTGCAGCGTCCGGGGGGGGCCACAGCTGTGACACGTGTGGGAGGATGCTGTGAAACGCCACATGCCACTCACAGCTGGCTGGCTCTGAAACCAGTTTAAACACACCACTGCACCCCAAAACGTCAGCCTGTCAGAAGAGCACGTGGTGACTGCACACAGACTGCTTTACAAAAGAGCAGCAGCCGCTAAAAAAGCCAGAGACGTGCAGAAGGATGCAGCAAAAGTGCAATATGGGGGGTGCGTGCCGAGGCAGGGCCCCGGAGGAACCACAGCCAACCCCCGTCAGAGCAAAGGAAAAAGGAGTAAAAAAGCAAAGAGCAGCAGATAGAAACCGCTACGCACGAGTCCCCAACCTCCTGTGCTGCCTGTTGCCTCGCTGAAGGAATTGGGACAGACTGAGCACAATCTGCAGCGAAAACGGGGGAAGCTGAGACCGAGATGTGCAGGACAGGTGTTTGGTGCAAGCCTGAGGAAGAGGGAGGAAGGGCGTTCATTAAAGCATTTGATTGTTCGAGTTTCCTTTTTTCTCAATACCTGAATATGCAATTAAAACTTTGCGTTCACGGGCAGAAAAATTTTGTACAAATTCCCCACGCCAAGTCCGTTTTGCCAGCACCGCCGCCCCATGACTGCAAACACCACTGGATCCCGGCACGAGGGATTCATCAGACACCAGACATGGGGCAAGCAAGCAAGTTCACGAGTTTCTCAGGAGCGACTGAGGCTCCAGAGACCTGGAAATACATGGCGGGGGAGGGAGGGAACAGCTATCCCAGGAGAGAACAGCCCATGGACAGCAGGGAAGAGCAGCTCTCAGACAGACCTTCCTCCCCTGGCCCCAAACCCACAGATCTCCTCCTGCTACCGAGAGCTCACAGCTGAAGGTCAGACAGGCCCGTGCGATGGGAAGGACACAGACACGCTCCGATCCCAGATTTGCAGCAGGATTTCAGTAGGAGGAGATCTCTGGAGGTCGTTTGGTCCAACTGCAAAGTTTAGATCCAGCTCTACAGAGCTGACGCAGCCAAGCTCTGACTACGGCGAGCCCAGCTCGCGGCTCCCCCGGCAATGCTTCCTGGCAATCGGGATGCAGGCAGGGTGGGACCACTCCCTGCGCCCTTCCAGCCTCCCACAGGCCCGCAGGGGTGGATCAGCCCCCTTGCACCCGCTCCTGCCACTGCCCATGCTACCGCAACCCAGAGAGGTGACTCATGTGCTGGGAAATGCAAACCCGCACCTTCCCGACAGCCGTTCCTGCCGTGTGCTCCAGCCAGTCCTCTGCCCACAGCAGCCCACACGCCCGGGAAGGAGCCAACACCCTCGCTCCATGCTGGGCACTCAGTAATAACTCAGCAAACGTTCTCGCTTGCCTGTTAAACTCCAAGTCCTTTGCCTTTTCTATTTTCTTTCCTCCTGCACCCAGCTCTTCTCAATATCTCAGTGTCGGCACGGAGCCCAGCCTGGGCTGTGCCAGCACTCCGCACACCAGCGCTCGGAGACCACCAGGGCATTTGCGCTGACAACAGGATTTTGCTTTGCCAATGATATTCTCAGTGATATTTTAGGGTCACCAGAGCAAGGAGCCCTCAGGGAAATCCCCAAAGGGCGCCAGGCATCAGCTGGCAGCCGCGGTGCCACCCGACCTGCAGGCATTTCGTGGACACTGCCACCTGCTCTGCGCAGTCTGCAGTCCCCAGCAGGAACGGGATTGCTTCCTCCAGAGATCCGAAAGCTGGGAGCAGCTGGCAGTTACCCACGCAGGAGGCAGAAAACTCCGAGAATACTCATTTTTCACATGAGATAAAAAACGCTCCCTTTGTCACTCACACACATCCACAACTCGGCTACGGATTGAAGAGCAGAGTCCGGTGGTCTGAGAGCTGGGACTGCTTCCAGCTCTGCCACAGGGGCTTCCCATACGGCCCAGACAAATCTCTTCCTCTCTTTACCACCCGCGCACAGGCACCACTATTAATTTACCTACCGGGGGCCACGCAGAGGCATTTGCTCATAATCGTAAAGTACTTTGCAGCTCAAAGATAAACACACCATTGCTGGTTGGCATGTAGCAGGAGGGAGGGTGAGGCAGGACCGACAGCTCCCTCAGGGCTTCCCCCGGGAGAGGAAGGTGCCTGCAAGACTGGCCGGGCAGCAGGCACGGCACACCGGAGCCGCTTCCCAGCCCTCTGGCTGACCTGGGCCACTAAACGCCAGTCTGACAAGCGGCCAACTGGCTCACGAGGGAGAAGTCTTCCAGCAGCAGCTCTCTGGGGCTCAGTCTGAGCACCCACACAGTGGCTTTGACTGAAATCCATCAGCTGGAAGCCTCCATCTTTGGGATCTAAATCCCAAACCAAGAAGCGAAACACTACTTCCTCCCACGCAGAGAGCGCGGCCCCATCCCTGCTCCCAAACACAGAGCTCAGGCAGACTTGGGTACCTGCTGCTGAGCGTGTCAGGGGGCCACAGAGAAAAACACATCCCCTAGAAGGACAATTTCAAACTCAGTAGAAGAGATTCTGGTTTGGTGGCATCTCTGCTGACCTACACATTAAACCGGACAACAGCAGACACCACACACAGTCTCCTGGGAGGATGGAGGAGGCAAGGGGAGGAGGATGAGTAATACCAGATCTGCTTTGTTCTCTAGGTGCCTTAATACAGGGCATAGCCTCCAGCCTGGTCTTTCAGAGAGTGGCATTGCATCACTCAGCCACCTGCACAGACGCAAGCAGCCACCGGCAATGCCACTCTCCCAACTGCCAAGGCCTCCGAGACCCTCCCAGCCCTTCTGGTGCCAGCAAAGGCACTGAGAAGGGCCCAGGTTAAACGCTGGGAAGGCAGAGCCATAAAGCAGCACCGTCCTTTGTGTGCTTGATGACTCAGGCACCAGGTAGATACGATGCCTCCTCACCCCTCAGACACCTCAGCCAGCTCCACCGAGGTCCAGCCAAGGTCCCTTTGCTGTCCCTACGCACACCAACACCTCCAGGCATCCAACCACCGCTCCAATTTCCCATCCATCTTCAACCGGTGAGTCCCCCCGACCCCTCTCCACATGAGCAACTCGGCCATACGAAGAGCGGCTGATCCCCAGACCAGTTCCCCTAAAGCAGCATGTGGTACCTTTGGGCTGGGAGTTGTACACTGCAAACATGTTGATTGCCACAAGCTGGAGCATGCGGGTGCTTCCGATGGGAGGGGGGCTGTGCTGCAGCAGGACCTGGAACTCCCTCAGGACCTCCTCGGCCACCGCAGGGAAAGTCTCCATCCTGCAGACAGAGAGAGAGTCTGTAGAGCGCAGGCTATGCCCCGGGGTGCAGGGTGGTCAGTCAGCACAGCTCACTCAGTGTCATGCCTCCTGGGGAAGGGGGACTCCCTGGGGTGCCATCTCCCATCCAGGAGCCCTTGGGAATGAAGGTGCAGGCTGTGACGGAGGCAGCTGAAGCCTTCCTTAGAGAGGGGAGCGAGGGATTGCTCTGTGACCGACGGGCAGCATTCCTTTGGCAGGAAAACACGGCCTTTATGAGTCATTTCTGACCAACCATTTTTTTCTACTGACTTCTACCAATCTGGGAGGGGTGCCAAGAGGCCAGCAGCTCACTTGGACCAGGAGCAGCCCATGGGACTCCCGAGAAACCCAGGCTGCAGCAAACGGCACACACTGGTGCCACATTGCGGATGTGGCAATTCCAGTGCATTGAACGTTGGCCAGAGCATGCTTCCTCCAGAAGAACGGTGCCTCTCCCTGGGTTCCTCACTGCAGGATCGGATCCCATGGCATCAAGCCCCGTCCCCTCAGGCTACACACTCTCAGCACTGTGATTGAGCCCCTGAACTTCATCACTTCGAGCCTCACGGGAGAGGGACCCGCAGACTAATGACTGGCCTCATCTAGCTGCTGGAAACGTCAAAGCTGGAGCTGGTCCCTGCAGTGCACAGCGCTGCTGTCGCTCATCAGGACACAGCAGCCGGGGCTGCAGAGCCATGGCCGGGGATGGGGTGTGCTTTCAACACCACTCACAAGCGCCCACGGAAAACTGACACATTTATCCTGCTCTTCATCCGGATCACTAAGGGAGTTAGCTGAGGTCGCTTATTGGAGCTGTCGGATCCTCCGCAACCTCCCAGCTGAAGTGGGGTCAAAAACTGAACGGATTGCAAATTAGAGCACAGTCAATTCACAAAAACAACTGAGATGTGGTTGCCCACAACAGCCCTCCCAAAGAGTCCTCACCTGGTATCTTGTGAAGACAACTTCATAACCAAGAAGATGCCAAAAACCTTGCAAACTTTTTTGGGGGGGGGGCAGGGAAGAAGGTCCTCCTGTCCCATTGCCTCTTCTACTGAGCATGCTGTGTTACTTCTCACTCCTACACTAGAAAAATCCACAGCTAGACCCAGCAAGAACGAACACCAGTCTGGCAGCAAATGCCCGCTCCAGTTATCAGCAACGTTGTGCCAGTGTGCCTACGTGGGAGCAAGGGAGCCAAAATCCGCAGCGGGTGAGGCATCTGGAGCCGGGGCAGGCAGCCTCAGGGGCCTCCAGAGCAATTTCCTCTATCTTCCCTCAAGAGATTCAGATCTTGCGATATCAGCACGCTACAGGCTGGATTAGCAAGCCACTTCTGGTAACCCACCTGGGCAATTCTGCTGGGCTTCCCCAACAGACTTTCAGGACAGCAAGAGGCTCTATTTTTGAAGACAGAAATAGCTTTCTTCTTAACCATATTTCATGGGTGCCTTTCAACAATCGGTTCTGCCTAGCAGCAGGGGTACCCCCTCCCCGGGCACTGTTTGCTGGAGCAGTTCAAAGCCTCCATCACCTTTCCGCAAACACAGGCTGTAACAAACAGGCTCCTTGTACTTTGTAGCTGTGCAGAACGGAGCAGCTCTGCCGGTACAAAAGCACTGCTCTCCCTGGAAAAGGCAACTTCCCTGGATTTGGGGCACAGCCAGGGAATTAAAGCAAACTGATTGTTTCTAAAGACTTCCTAATTTTGAGAAATCTCAGACCACATTCAGCGTATCCAGCAACATCCTCCTAGGGCAGATAGGACACTGGGGATGGAGGATGGGTTGTTAGCAAGGAGATGAAGATTATTGCCGTGGAATAACAACAAGAAGGAATGAGGGCTTCCTCAGCCCCGCCAGCTGTGCTTTGATACCACAGCACATCTGGAACAGCATGCAGTAACCCCACTGAGCTCAGAACCAGCAGGTCAGGAGCAGAGCGGAAGCTTTTAATAAATGGCTTACCTGTGGTTTTAGGAGCCAGAGTCCAATTAGGGCAACATCATCTTTTCCATACTTTTTACAGATAAATCACTGAAGATCCTGCCCAAAGAGGACTCAACTATTCCTCACCTTTTACCTATTTTAAGCACGGAAGCTGTTTAGCAGGGCCGAACAATTTTCTCTTCCTGTGTCATGGTATTACTTTCTAGTTCACTTCTAAGTACTTCAGGGGATGTTCTACCATTAAACATACTTGGATTTTCTAAATGACTGTCCTGGGAAGCAACCGCCTCAAACACTGCATCTTAATTTCACAAAAGTCTCAGGAGCCAAATGTGCAAGCAATCTCTGCAACATCCCCATTAATCCTCCTGCTGGCATGCGTTCAACCGGAGCTCGGCCGCGAGCATGGCCCCACAGAGCCAAGGACCAGCAGCTCCCCGGATGCTCTGCCCTCCGGCACAGACACGCTGCAGTTACCAAACCTTCCATGGGCTTTTGCAGCTTGCCTCTTTTCCTGTGAGGCAGGAGAACATCCAGTTCTGCTTCCTTGCTGCAGCCCAGCCTGCTGCCCACAAGTAGATAATCAGTACCTTGTGACTCAGGGAGAGATCAACAGCACTGGCAGCGAGCGGATTGCTCTCCCCCTCAGACACTCAGATCTCCAACAAATTGGCCAGCGCAGCTCCTACTTCCCATTGCTTTACGAAGGGTCTGAAGTCAAGCACGTGCCAGTCCTGACTAGCCAGCCCAGAAGTGCGTGCTGGATGGAGAAAGTGCTGAGGCTTCAGGCTGCGTGGAAGGGTTGGTGCCGTGTCCTGCATCGCTGCGCTTCCCTGCTCCAGGAGGGAAAGGGGACATGCCCACGCAGAGGCAGGGAACTGTACATCTGAGTCAAAAATACAACAGCAGGGACAAGGTGCCACTTTGCATCCCTACGTGGCCTGGAAAAGGTCTCTCAACCCTGTAAATTGTAGCCATCAGTTCTGCAAGAGACCAAAGGAGCTAACAGAGCTCATGAGACTACATCTGCTTACGAGGCACTGGCAGGCTCAAGCAGAGACCACTGTTGCCAGAGACCATCTGAAGCCACAAAAGATCTCGCTATGACAGCCATCCCATCACCTGACAGCAAGGGCCAGTCCGGATCCACAGCAGGGACAGCTCCATGAGAAGCCCATCAGCTGCAAGGCTGAGCTCTGCTCTCTGGGTCAGAAGGATGTCCCCCAGGCTGGGATCTCGGCCCAGCAAATCAGGCTTGCTTTACTTCAAGGGTAGCTGTTCCATTACTGAAAACCAGTTTCTGACAGATGTTGCCAAGGGCACTTTGTGTAAACCCGTTCCCACAGCCAGGACAGCTCTCAGCTACGAGGCTTTCACTGAAACGGCAGCGAGGAGATGAAGGTCAAAGCTTGTCTTGACACGCTCTGGATGGCCGCTCTCAGCCACTGCACGGTTCTGCCTCGATGGCTTTGTGCTCCTTGCAGACAACAGCCACTGAGAGCCACGCTCTGCTGGCTAAGAGTGGGGGGAATGGGAGATGGGGGCCAAAACCAGAAGTTAAGGGAGATAGAGCATGGTTAGACGATAGGAGAGAGAGGGAGAAAGCAGTCTCTAGTCCCTCCTGCGTGTGTGTATCAGCTGGTCAAGCTCCGCCTCTGCCAGAGGGTCCTGGTACACGGGCAGGAGCAGGACTGAAGGTGGAGGGAGAAAAAGCCCAAACAATAACCAGTGTGGATGGGAGGGCGGGTAAGGAGAATAGGAACCAGGAGGCTAGGCCTGCAAGAATTCACACCCTGTGCCCTCAGCTCCAAACACAGCTTAGTTGCTAACAATATTAAATTCCAAAAAGACTTGTAATGTAGGAAAATAAAATAAACATCCTGCACACTTACCCAATCCTGGTAAACAGCTTCCCATGGGCATGGAGAAAACTGAGGATGAACCTTTTGTTCAGCTGCATGGGAAAAAAAAAAAAGAAAGAGAGAGGAGAAAACAATTAAACTCTCTCCGATTTCCTGTGAATTAAGAATGTCCCCAGTGACAGAAGAACCTGGCCTGGATGTTGGGGGTGGCACTGGAGATGGGAACCAAATGGACATGCCCAAACTCTTACAAACATTATGCGCACAGGGCCGGGCAAGTGCCAAACAGCTGGAGCAGGAGCGGGGAGCAGCGGTGGAGACACAGCACCCTCTGCCGGGACCTGTGATGCCTCGCCGGGCACCCGCACCCCGGGGGCAGCTCCAGGCCGAAGGGTTCCTCCTCCACACCCCATAAGCCCTGCTTATGTAAAAGGAGCACCCAAAGGCAGTCTTTCCCACTGGCATTTTTCCTAATGGGGGGGGGGGGGATAAACCAACTTGTTTGGTGCCCCGCAATTGTGGCGGAGGCTGAGCAGCACCTGGTCAAGGCGGAGAGGGAGCGGGATTGTCCTGACTGGTGCTTTTCTGCAGCGGGAAAGCAAGGCTGGGAGCGCTCCTGCCAGGAGCAGCTTTCAGAAGCAAGGGGATGCTGGGGTGATGCTGCACCCCTTCGGTTAACTCCAGCCTGAAGCAACTGCAGAGCGGGAGCTGGTGTTCACATGTACCAAAAAAGCCTCTGGAAGCCTGCAGCAGCGACGCTGATAGGGAAGTACCAGAGCAACGCGGAGCTATGGAGATAGAGGGGGATCTGGCTGCAGCACACGGTGTGATGGCAGCTTCCTGCCCTGCTCAGGTCCAGTAACACCAAAACCCGACTTGAATAGTTACTTACTACTTCTCTAAACCACCTCTGACAGCTCAGCAGAGCTCTGGGCTTTCCCAGACCTTATCTAGAAGACTTTGAAGAAGGCTATAGGTGTAAGCGGTCACTTTGCCTGGAGGTGGCTGTATCACACCACCTGGGGTGGACTGGCCTCACTCTTACCCTCCCCAGAGCAAGAGATTTTCCTTTCACACCTGCGCAGCCTCAGCGCGGTGAGAAAAGCCAGGCTCCACGCACTGCGTGGGGAGATGCTGACCAGGAGTCACCCAGAGCACCACGGCTCTGCTCCCATCACACAAGATTTTTATACCTTGAACCCCTCTATAAAGGTCAGCAACGCCACTTTCATTTAAGGGGTGGATCAGAGGCACAGAGGGAGAACGAGGTTACTGGGCAGGGCTTTGGCAATGCCCAGCCAGGCACATGCAGGAGGGTGCAGAACGGGCACCGGTCAGTGCCTCCAGGCAGCACCGAGCTCCCCACCAGGCCTGGCTGCAGGGGACGGCTATCATGGGGAGTCCCAGCTCTGCCACCACCTTCCACCCTCGTTTGCCGAACCCCTCGGCTCACGCCATGACTTATGCCAGCTGCTCCGTGAGGCACGACTGCTCGGTTAGGTGTAATTAACCCGGGCTGCGTTCCCGGAGGACCCATGCAGGAGAATGATGCCCTGCTGCAGCGTCGCTCCTGGGCCATGTGCGAGTTTAGACATAAAACCTGTCTCATAAAACAAGCCAGACCAATTAAACTGGCCCCCGCAGCAAGGGGTTCTTGCTTACTCACTATTTTACTGCTGCCCTAAAGAGCCCTTTCCGCTGGAACTCGACTTTATTTGCCACCATTTTATTAACTCTGCAGATGAAACCCAGAAGAGACTGGGCAATATGGGGACAACACAGCAAAACCCTTATTTGCTCTGCCAGCAATGTTTGGATAGAGCAGCTTCTCCACCATCCTCCGTAGGACACCAAGGCAGCTCAGAGCTTGAAACCGTCAACATGTACTTTTTTGTCAGGCAACAGTGTGCAGAGGTAGAAAGCTGGTTTGTGACCAGCTCCGTGGCTCCAGCTGCAACCACATACCCCAACAGAGACACAGCCTAACAAGTGCGAGCCCTTAGCTTGGGTGCCAGAGCCTTGGTGGGGCGGTGGGCACACCACAGCAAGCCCACCTGCTGCTGCCTGCAGGAGCTAGAGGAGGAGGTCCCACGGTCTGTGCTCTCTGATGGGGGATATGAAGAGCAGGAGCTCGTGCTCTGACCCATCTCTACTGCAAAGCTTGTTGCGATGCTGATCTGCAGGCTGCACGCGGGGGAAAGAAGAAATTGGGGCAGAAGTTTTTCTCCAAGGCCCACGTTCACCCACGGCTGCAGGAGTGCTCACCCTGCAATCCCCGCACCGCTTTCCTGGCAGCGGGGGGAGTACCGAAACTCCCCACCTTGAATGGAAAGTGACGTCTGTGCCCAGTGGGCATGTGCCCTGAGCATTCCCACGGGGACAGCCAGCTCTGGGAGGGCTCGCCAGGACCTCGGCTTCGCCCCCATCTTCTCAGAGCAAGTTTCACGCTCAGCCTTTTCCCTCTCAAGGACTAACCAGTTATGCTCCACAGGAACCAGTGCTGAACTGGGACATGGATACCTGCAGATAATTTTTTTTAAAAGGAAGCAGGATACCTGCCTCTAGGAAAGAAGCATGTTTCATACCTCTTGCCAACTCAAGCACGAACGCAGCAAGCCCAGGCAGAGCCCTGTGTGCCCCAGCACTGTGGCATCTCAAGCAGGCACCCCTCACGCTTCTTTCATCGCTTTTTCTCTCACAGCCTCAAGGTTTTGATGAGCTCATCGCTTAACTTTGGACCTTTCATCTCCGAGTTCACGCTAAGGCCACGAGGCTGCTTTGACTGGGCTTTTCTCTGAATGACTCTTTCTCTAGTGACTCACCTGTCCCTCAGTCTCCGGGAGCCCTGCCTGCTCCTCCCGTCAAACACCGCTTCTCAGGGCAAGAGGGAAACAGTGACCTCCACCGAACGGCCCGGCTTTGGGGTAGGGAGGAGGAAGTCCTGTCACCCGCTGTTCTGCATTTGCACCGCGGAGAGGAACGCTTCCCCAAAGCCCTGCTAGCGTGCTCGCTACCCTGAGGGTGCTTGAGACCTGCAACAACTCCTCGCCTTCATCCCACTCACTGTGCAGTCCAAGGGTGGCCACCTTCAAAGCCTTCCTGCAAACAGTCCTTGTACCGACGTCAGGACGCCAGGGAAGACGGGGCTTCCTGCGCACTAAGATTGCCGCCCTTTGCAGGCAGCTTTGCTCCTTGGGACAGGGAAGCAAATCTGGCTGGTCCCAGTTGGTCGCTTGGGAAGAGCCCACTAAGTAATGCTTATACAACAACGGTGAGACATCAAAAAATGGATTTTGGCCCTTCCAGTTGAAAAGCGGGCATCACAGATATGGAAGTTATGAGCATATAGTGAAGGCATTAGTTATAAAAACAAACCAGCTGTCAAGAAGAAGGGGTCCCTGCACACAGTAGTGCCTGAAGCTGAAAACAGCTGTTTCAGCTGTCATGAGTCAGCATGTGCAGACAGACTAAATCCACCTGGGAAGAGGCAACCTCACTAGAGGAAGCGGCCCCACTGCTGCTTGGGGAGCATTCACACACTGCACTGCCAACCAAACTGGATTTGTTACCATGGAAGAAATCAACAGTGACTAACAACTTCTCGCAGAGTGGCTGAGCGCAGAGATAGCAACGGTCCTGGAACAGCCAGCTCAAATCACCGAGAGGCCATGAGGAGTCCATCCTGACAACACACAGAACAGGGGCGGTCAGACAGCTTCAGGAAAGGTCTGTCATGTCTTGAGCCAGCCAAGGAGAAAGCAAGACCCAATCTCAAGAGACTATGCACTGACCAAAAAGGGTCGAAAAACGTGTCTCCCACCCCAGCGCAGAAACACTGGAAATGCCACCGGGGTGTGTAGGAAAAGGAGCACCAGGAATCAGGCTGGAAAGCAGAGCTGCCGCGCTCAAAGCCAGCGCGGACCCGTTTGGCTCACTGCAAGGAGTGCACAGAGCTTTGGCACCTGAGCATCAGTCCCAGCTGTGAAGGAGGCACCAAATAAGGGAAAGATTCTGGAGCGGTGACTCCTGGGGAAAAAGTGTTTCGAGTTAAAAATTGTTACTTCAGGTTTGGAAGTAAATTTCAGGATCTGGTCTTTATCAAGCGAGGCAAACTTTCTTCAACATCAGCAAAGCATCTGCAGAGCAGAAAGCGGTGTCAGAGTCAAAACAGGCTGCAAAAGACAAGTCCATTAATCAAGAGACCAGATGCAAAACTGCCTGTAACAAATGCACTGTCTCCACCGGAGTGGAAGGGACTGGAACACAGTGGGACATTCTCCTGAGTCTAAGAGTCTCCTAAGTGAGAAGGGCTCGGGATACAGACCACAGAGCCACACAGCTCCACTCCAAAACACGTACCGCACTCATCTCAAATATTTTCAGGGTTTCTTGGGCAGTCAGGCTCTTCCAGGCAGAGCTTCCTTGCTGAGAACTCTGAAATAATATCCAGGCACCCAAACCATGCCATATTCACATTCCCAGCTCAAGGGCTAGCTATACCATGTTAATTATTAAGATTATTCCTCTCTTCCATGGGCAGCTTCTTCAGAGCTTTAACCCACCCAGTCCAACAGCAGCAGTGAGCCTGCTATCTCTCTTGGAGACTGCCTTACAAATATGAGCCTGAGCCTTCATCCCACACCATCCCAAACTTGCAAGGCACAGCTCTGGCTGGTGTTTTCCACAGCGGATTCTCTCTGAAATAACACTGAGCACCGCTCGAGAGCTTCCTGAAAAGCCCAGGATGCTGCAGTGGGCTCAAGGGGCGAGATACCAGGGGGAGGTTTTTACTGTCACAGGTGCAATCCCAACAAATTGCTGGTGGAAAGCGTTTTGTGCAAATGGCTACCCACATAAAGGAGATGAGACAAAAGGGCTATTAAGATTGTCTGGCATTTTTGCAGTATTTACAAGGTACCCACGGAGCTGTGGGCAAATTCCAGCTGGGCTAATTACAGTAATCATTCCTCTTCATATACCACCTGCAACCACAAATGGCTACAGAGCTCGCCTTGCCGCCTTCTTGCCACGTGTCCCAGTGCAGGTTTCTGTTTAGCAGTCGCAATGCCCTGCCCAGAACCGGATTAATTTC